TGATGTTGCCCTTGGAAGTTGTTCTTCCCTTGACCTTGGAAACCACCACTCGGCTGAAAACCTTTGTTGTAAGGGATGAAAGGTTTTGCTGAGCAGGGTACACTTGGTCCTTAGGGTTGGCAACGTTGGTACTTCGGTAGGAGAGATTGTTGTTCTGGTTGTAGCCTTGGTTGTAGCCTTGAGGTTTGTAATTGTTCTGTCCCGCCACCCAATTGGCTTCATCCTGGCTCAACTCAAGCTCCTCTTGATTCTCATCTGCTTCACCAACGAAGTGAACATGCTTCTGGTTGGCTAACACCAGCTTATCTATCTTCCCATGCAAAGATTTCAGCTCCTTTTTGTGAGACTCTAGCTCGGATCCTCTCGGTGCACAGTCATAATCCTCAGCGTAGTTGCCATCACTCAATGCCAAGTTTTCAATCAGCTCCATGCCCTCTTCTACCTCCTGACCGAGGAAGTTCCCTTTACTAGCTGTGTCAAGCAACAACCTGATCTTTGGTGAAGCTCCGCGGTAGATGGTGCTGAGTAGGGTCTCCTTGCTGAAACCGTGATGAGGACATTGGATCGTGTAGTCTTTGAAACGTTCCATTGCCTCTTTGAATGTCTCGTTGTTTCGTTGAGTGAAGCCGCTGATTTCGCTTCTCAACCGTGCTGTCCTGGTGCTAGAGAAGAATTTTGAGAGAAAGGCCTTCTTACACTCGGCCCATGAGGTGATGGTGCCTTGTGGGAGGGTCTTCTCCCAATGCCTAGCTTTGTCTCCGAGTGAAAAGGGAAAGAGACGCAGCTTGAAAACATCTTCGGATATGCCGTTTATCTTGATCATCCCACATACTTGCTCGAAATTGTCAAGGTGCTCCAAGGGATCTTCTATTGCTAAGCCGTGGAACTTGTTGTTTTGCACCATGGAGATGAAACCTGGCTTAATCTCGAAGTTGTTGTTTTGTACAGGAGGAGGAGTGATCTCAAACCTATTGTGATGAGTATTGAGAGCATCTCCGGCTCCTATGATCCTTGGGTGTCTAGCCGCGTGTTGGGGGTTTCCATTGCCCCTTCCCACTGCCCCGTGAGCTTGAGGAGGTCCCTCTGGATGCTCGTGTTCAGCCATAGCTTCAAAGTCAACCAAACCATGCTGAACAATCTCCTCAAAGGCTCTGGCTTGTTCTCGTACTCTTCTTTGCCGTGAATGACCAACTGATGAATGTTGTCCAAGGGTTGAAGTAGATTGTTGTCTCCCCTTGAACGAAGATTCATGTACCTGAGAGACACACGTTTGAGAGTAGAGATGTTAGTAACTAAAATAAGGTAAAGGCGTAGTCTTTACTAAGTCCCAAATCTCTATGTTTTCTAAACAATCCTAGGCCGGCAACGGCGCCATTTGATAACTATAATCTTTGCAAGGGTGAGTATGCAATGAGGCTATCGAAACTCAAATGCCAGACAGGTTGTAGCACAGTATGCAAGAGAGAGTCAATCCACACCTAGGATGATAGAAAAAGCAAAGAGAATGCAAGGGCTTTGCAAATCTAAGCGAACAAAGATCGGTTTTGAGAAAATCCCTAAAAACTAGATGCAGCAACTAAATGAAATGCAAAACTATTTTAATATTACCAAGAATGATCAAACTACCATGAGGAACAAACAGAATAATTAAAGAACAAAGCTATGAATTACTAAAAATCGACTAGTGGATCGACCACTAGATCGAGCAACAACGATCGATCTCGTCTAAAAATGTAAGAACAGCAAAACTAACGACCAGGATGCTATCAAAGATCAAACGAAAGACGAGAGGATGTAAAGATGCTAAGAAAGAGGGTATAGGGTTGAGATTCATGGTCAGGGGTTTCAAAGGTCCGAACTTGGGTTGAAAACTTTAAATCGACTCACTTTGTGAGAATCTCTAAGCCTTGAAAACGAAATAAGATCTATCCGTGGCTTTCGGTATAGATCACTCCTTCATCCTCTCCTCCAAACCCATGGCTTTTGGTGGAAAGAGAGGTTGGAGGGCATGAAAAAACAGATTTCAAACGCATGGCTTAACTAGTCCCCCAAACTTCCATGGCTTTTGGGAAGGGGTAACTAGTCTCTAGGGTGCGATCTTCAGAGGTCCCTGAATCCTGTCAAGGTAAGAGACCTCTCGGATCATAAAGCTCTTGGCGTGAGAGTCTTTAAGCTTTAGGAACTCGACACCTTAGAAGAGATAGCCATTAAGCACTAGAAAACCCCAAGATCGAAAACCTTTTTGACCCCTTGAATCCTCTCAACCCCGACCCCTATTGAAACTACTCACTACACATAAGATAAATCAAGCAAAGCATGAAGAAAGAAACGATGAACATGAAAAAGAACTAAATTAAAGTTCAAACGATTCGAATACAAAGCAAGAAAAAAAACTTCAAGTTCGACAATGGTGGATTATCTCCAAAACCAGAGAGAAAGGCATAAAAAGATAAGATTCAAAAAGTTCTGTGGAAAAGGACATCGCCGCCTTCCCGAAATGACGAAAATAACTCGATGGTCCCCCCTCGCTAGCGGCCAAAAGCGGTTGAAAGGATAGAGATCGACTTTGGGATCGAGCAGCTCTCTCGATCATCTTCGGACATTGTGTCTTCAACTCGATCTGGGTCTTGAACATCTTCAGTGGATCAATTGTTGCATCCGATCTTGGTATCGATCTTTGGTTTGATCGAGTGGTGGACTCAATCCGGCTCTCGCTCTGCATGGCGTCATTTACGTCTGTACCGTTTGATCGATTGCTTCACTCGATCTTCGTCTCGATCAGTTTCCTTGGATCGCCTGGTCTTCTCGATCTTCTGGTCGATCTCATATAGATCGACCTGCTATGCTCGATCTGTTCCCTGATCTCTGGTCCTTAGCAAACATCCGACCTTCCACGAACCGCCACAACAGCTTCAGCACGTCCACGAACCTCCACGACTCCAAAATAGCCAGATACAACCTGAATGTGATGCAAAATGCAAGGAACATGCGTATGCTGGTGCGAGAATGCTCTAGGACCCTAAGTGATGCAATCTAGTCTAAAGTGTGATGTAAATGCATGAAAAGCTAACTAATATGTATGCAAAATGTATGCAAAATGCAGTAACATCAAATATGCAGCAATATCACGGAGGAGGTAAAAATGAGAGATGTGTATTTATTAAGGGTGATTACAGTAGTTCGACGTCTTTTGCGAATTCTGGTAGGCGAGGGGAGGAAGACTTCGAGGCGCCTCTGTGCTACTATGGGCGAGTAACTAAGCAGTGTAAGGTGTGGACGGACGAGAACCCTGGGAGATGCTATTACGATTGCCAGAAGCATGGTTTTTTCTGTTGGATGGACACGAAGCGTCGCTGTCTTTGGCAAAAGGACAGTTTGCTAGAGGCGCGAGACAAGATCCGCCGGCTGGGGAAAGAAAACAAGGCATTACCAGAGACTTTAACAAAAGGTCACATTCGCAGTTATGTTGCGGCGGCGGGGGACGGATCCGCGGCAAGGGAAAATAATGCAGGTACCTCAAAACAGGCGGAGGAATTCAGGGCAGCGAAGGGTAGGCAAATGTTGATGCGGGAATAGCTTCTGCTATCGTGGTGCTATTTTATAATAATAACCGAACGGATCGTGGCATTTTGGAAACCGTAGAGTTTATGTAGTCTGTGCGGGTGGGCGTAGAACGAAGCGGCTTGGTGTTGAAGTGGTAATCTCACATACCTCAGCATCCTAATTTTGTACTGTATAATTATGTGGTTGTTTGTTTTTAATTATGATAAGTTCTATAGTGGAATGTGAACGTTTTCCATGAAAGGATTACTCGTTTTTGAAATTAGTGTTTCAGAAGAAGATTCTGTCTATGAGTACCGGATGGTGATAACATGGACATTACAGAATGGACATGATTGTGTAACCATCGTAGTCTGCCCATATCGTGAGCTTGAGTGGCCAATGTATGATGGTTGTTCCGGCTATCGATGTTGTATTTTGCATACATTACTGTAGACGTGGGACATGATGGATCGTGTCCATCGAAGTCTGTCCATTTATCGTGAGTGCCACTGTTTGATGGTTATTCAGGATATCAGATGTTATCCATCGTAGTCTGTCCATTTAGCTTGAGTGGCCAATTTGTGAAGGTTATTCCGGCTACCAGATGTTGTATTGTGCAGACGTTTCTGTAGTGTTTAGGGGTGATGGATCGTGTCCATCGTAGTCTGTCCATTTACGTACATTGAGTGGATATACATATTGTGTTTTGTAGGTAGGCTTAGTCCAGTTTGGTCTTTCCATATGGCCGACGATTTCTTATGTTCTCTAGGTGTATACCCCTGATTCACAGACTATAGCTTAGCTTAAATCGCTGAATTTTGAAAAGCGAAAGGAAGACATGGAACTCTCGGACATCTGCTGTCCATAAGTACACTCATAAATAAGAACAGGTAATCCCAAAAAGAATTATGCATGTCAAATCAGTCCTAACTTAGGGTTCAATAATATTGACGCGTCCATTTCTCGCCGTCCATGTGGTTTCGCGAGAAGTTATGGTGATTACACATGGACGTCTATTGTAGGGTTGGAGAGAAATTTAAGTTAGTCCCCGATAAATTGTGCAAAATTACTGTTGTGGCTGTGTGGAGAAGACCCAAAAACTTCTGTCCATTCGGATCGCGTCCATTTCCCAACTACCTGAGGAGCCGTTTACTGAATCTCTGTAGATTTATCAGTTTCCATGTTTAATGGCACGTTGGTGGATCACATAACGCAGTGGTGGTAATGGTTAAAGATTAAGTGGAATTGTAATTGCCATCAAATTACAGAAAAAGTGTTTGACACAACGGTGGCCCAAAAAGGTTTAAGAGAGGATTGGCACCCAAGTGGTCGAAGGCAAAAAAATAAAAATAAAACCCGTCCATTACATGGACCCGGTGGAGACAACCTAATCGTGGGTCTCTCTGCTATCCACATCGTTATAACATGGATATCAAACAGACCCGTTTTAGGTGGGCTTAGGGCATGTACTGCGGTTGTTTCCTGGTTGTAAACACTTTGTTCATTGGTTGGGGATCAGTTTCTTCACTCTGGAGACCTGAAAGCAATTCGAAGCTCTTATTTTAGGGAGTAACAAATCAAACTCTTAGTAACTTATAAAATGAGCTTACAGGTATCTCTCCAGTGGATGGGTAGCGTATTTCCTTCCTCCTGCCCGATGCTCTGCGGCTCCTAGGGGGAAACAGAACTACCTTGCTTATCTTTGGTGGGATTTCTTCATCCGCAGCGTTTTCGACAGGGTAAATGACACCAAAGTAAGTGTCCTGCAAGCTTTTTACTCTAGATTCTGGGCCGACCAATGAGCTATATGGTAGTTGTACGCTGTCCGCTGCAAGCAAAGCATGGCCGCATGGGATCTTTAGCCGATTATACTTCTTCCAGTAGCAGGTCTTGTCCATCAAACAGACCTTGTGTTTTTCGCCAAAAATACCCACAATCTGGCAATTCCAGTCGTTGATGTCGTTGATTTTGTTGCCTTTCACCTCTTTCATATGCTCTGTCAAAAGTATGTCGATCTCCGGAGGAAGGTTTCCACGGCATGTAAGGGATTTTCTGCGCCTGGCAATGAACCATTTAGTCATCATTTCCTGGATGAAAGTGAGCAGCAAGACAAGAGGTGAACCCCTACCGTTTATTAAAACCTGGTTTAACTGCTTACAAGCATTGGTTGTCATGATGTTGAAACGCTCGCCCTTGCAATACACTCCACTCCAATGAGCCATTACTATCCCTCAAGGTATTTTGTTACGGCCGAGTTAGAGGCTCTGATTTTGTCGTATATAATCTTGAAAGTAGACACTTTATACGCGAAAGCTGCAGAAGTAACCAACTTCCCCAAGCCCTTATTGTTGAATTTAGAGCCGACATTCCTAGCTTGATGGACAATGCATCAACCCTGGTTTGCCTTCGGATATGCTATCTTGATGGCCTTGTAAATGGACTTGTGTCGATCAGAGACGATGGTCAAAATCGGGTTATCTGCCAGTATTTTTTCTAGCTTTTGCAGAAACCAGGTCCAAGAGGCGTCGTTCTCGCCATCGACAACAGCATAGGCAAGGGGATACACTTGGAAGTTAGCATCTTGGCCACATGCGGTTAGCAGTACCCCTTTGTACTTGCCCCACAAATGAGTGCCATCTAGAATAAGGAGGGGTCTAACTTTCCTGAAACCGGCAATGGAGGCGTCAAATGCTATGAAGACGTATAGGAATCTCTGAATACCATTTTCGTCAGCATCAATTTCCAAATCAGCGACAGAACCTGGATTGGCCATCTTCAACAGATGCAAATGGATGGGGAGAGTAGCGTAAGAATCCTCATCGGAGCCGTGTAAATTACCGACGGCCTTCCTTACGGCCCGATAACATTTCTTATAGGGGACGTTCACCCTCAGCTCCTCCAACACGAGCCTCTGCAGCTGGGCAGCGCGAGGGCCATTGTTAGGGTCACCAAACTTGGCTTTGAAGACAGCAGCGATAAGCCTAGCTGACGCATTTTTCTTGTAGGCATCTCTTGTTTTGCGGCAACAGATGTGCTCTAGATCGGCCTTTTTAATCTTGTAATATCCACATCCACCGACCTCTCTCGCCATAACTCTCTAGTGGCAGAGGTTATCTGTGCGGCTGAGAATGAAGTAATACTGCTTTGTCCGGCACTGCCGAAAGGTAAACATTCCTTTGATTGCGTAGATGGCCAAAGCTATAAGACACTCTTGCTTGCTATTTAATAGCTTACCGACGTGGATCCCTTCGTCGACTGAATCGATGTCCAGATCTTGTATATCGTTCCCCACATACTGAGTATCATCAAAAAGAGGTGGGATGTCGAACTCCGCGTCGTCTATTCCATCTAATGAAGATGGTAATCCATTTGGCACCTCAGATGTCTGTCCACGCCCATGTGTCCACGTAGGTATGGATCCCGATGCGGTATTTTGAGGATTCCGCCGTGGTTTGCTGTCCATTCGTGGTTGTCCATTTCAGTTACTCCATTCATTTGACTGTCTATTTTTTTGCACCTCCAAGGTGTGGCGGGCGGCGGATTGTTTGTCAACTTTGGTCTGTATATTGGATGACTGTGAGTTCCGGTCATTGCTAAAATAAGCCCTTTTGGGGACTGGAGGTCGTCTTTGGTCGAAGCCCTCGGACGTTGTCGACCGGTGCATCTGTGGTTAGCTATTCATATCAACGGCCCGTGATTCTGGGTTGCTAGTATCCCCCATCTCATATGAAGCCTTTGGGAGCCGTGGGTACTCGTATTTCTGGGGGATTTCGCCAGTGACTACTGAGTGGTCAAATGTGTCGTTACTGAAGCACATGTACTCTCTACGCATCCCTATGGCTACAACTTTAGCGTCAAAGCGTTCAGATGCTGGACACATGATGTCTGCGGCGTCCGAACCGACGAGAGGGTTGTCTATTAGTGGATCCCATAACTCGGAGTCATAACCGACTGGCCTAACATCGGAGATGTCTGGGGAAACACCACGGTAATCCTTGTAGTCTGAATCTTCATTGCCATCAGAGGGTGTGGATGGTTTCTTAGACCTGGTGTGTTTGAAAAACTCCTCCTCTGCTTGCTGCACGTTGTCAATAATCTCTGCATCATCCAAGTCAGAGAGGGGGGAAAGAAGAAGAGGGGGGGGGGGGGGGGGGGGGGGGGGGGGGGGGGGGGGGGGGGGGGGGGGGGGGGGGGGGGGGGTGGGGGGGGGGGATGTGGGCTTGGCGTCGTGGTACTTCGTCGGTCCAGAGATTCCTTTCGGCTTATTGTTGGAGAATCCATCCCCTGGCCATTTTCTCTTCATCCCTTGCGACGGCACAAAGAATACACCTGCGTTCCCAGAAAAGCTTCCTTCACCAGAGACTACAGGAAAGTCAGCCCTGGATGACAACATAAGTTCATCCGAGGAAGCATCGTGATATGCCCTAGAGCAGGGTATTACTTTCTCGTGCGTTGTAATTTTGTTCATCCTTCCTAGCACAGTCAGTATCCACCCCAAAAGATACAAACATGTTCATGGAAGGTGAGATGCGGAAATGTTTGAAGAAGAATTTAATCCCTCCTCTGTTTGTAACGAGCACAGGTGGCGTTGTTATCCCAGACACTAGTTCAGTCGAGTTGGAAGGCCAATAGGAATGATCTGCTGAGACACCGAAAGAGCCTTCCGGGAAAAACTCATTCAACACAGCTTCTTTTAGCTCACTGATGCTCATCACCTCACGTATCTCGATGACTCTGGACATCCGGCTTTGATCGACGAGGAAGTCCCATCTGCTACATTCCATTCTCCAGTTTCCGTCAACAACGCGGCATTGTTCGTCCATTCTCCTCCCGCCTTTATGGCTGGTAAAGATGACGATTACAAAAGCACCTAACACCAGACAAAGCGGGGGCAGATAAGGTCCCCTTAAGCGGGTGTCCGTGTAGATGGTTTCAAAAGTTAACTATTCTTGGTAACGGAGATCCGGGAAAGATTAATGTGGAGCATTAAATGAGCTTCAGATCTAGTGGCTACTGTTAGCAGTACTAAGCCATGCCCAGAAACTTGAGATTACAACAGTTCGTCCACTTGTTATTAGACATATCCTCCTTTGAACCAATAAGGAGGCACTACTTCTGTCCTCCCCAATGTCGAGAAAAGATACTCCAGATTTGAGAATTTAGCATTTAATTTGTGGGCCTCTTGCAGGTACGTGGAAATGATTGGACCCAATTAGGATTTTGTATGGAGTGTGTTAAACCTTCGGAAAAAATATTTCCGAATACTCCTGCCGACTACCTTCGGCCCTGTGCGTATACTATGTTAGACGCCCATTGAATAATATCCATATTCGTCGTCCATATTCGTCCTCTGCTTGTTGTCCATTTGCGTAGGTCGCCGGTGATGTACATTGTGGAAGTGATAGATCGTCTGCGATGGATGTCGCCTCATTCATTGAATATTTTTCATAACAAAATAGACAGACTGCGATGTAAACTATTGTATACGCTTATAGCGGTGGTACGATGTACATTGTGTGAGTGATAGATCGTGTCCATAGCAGACTGTCCATTTTGGTATGAAAACTAATGCCATGCATATTCTTCGTTAGGGGGGGGGGGGGGGGGGGGGGGGGTTAATCTATTTTTCGCTGGACAAATAGAGGCCACCGTCCATACGTTACCTCATTCAATGAATAACGCAATATCGTGTCCATTAAAGCCTATCCATTGGGGGTGGCCCCTGTTCTCTGTCCATATTGTAGCTTTGGTACTATGTTATTTGTCCACGGTAGTTTGTCCATATTATAGTTGGGTATTGCAATGTCCATCATCAAAAACATGAAAACAACAATATCTAGGTATTGCACTGTCCACTGGAAATTGTCCACTTCACGTCGTCGAGGTGTGTGGGTGTATTTATTTAGTTGGTCTATATGGGAGAAAAGGCGTAGCTCTGGGTATAGCAGCGATACGGCGCCCCTGCAGTGATTGTGTTCCACAAATGGAGTTCCGGCAAATGGGTGACAGATTGACTAATAGGATGAAAATATGGATCCCTTCCGAGCAGAAAAACTCTGATGGGCTATGTAAATCATCTCCTTTATGCCGAATATCCTTGTAGAATGAAGAGCGAAAAATTATCTGATCGATTCAGTAGTAAATCGATGAAAATCGTAAGGATCTGAAAAGTGTGAAGCGGCGGAGTAAGCAGCTGTATGAAATTTAAGTGGTGTGAGGTAACAGAGAATTGATGAAGGGTGTTTTGGGAAGTTACATCAATAGAGAAAAACAAAAAAATAAAAAGTGTCTGGTTAGTAAAAAGTGTCCAAATTTGTTAAGATAAGTGCAATAAGTGCGTTAGAGCGTAATATTCTCCTATAAATGTCAAGAGATTCTTTATCATTATACAATACATCCTAAATCTGAGCACATGTAATTTCTACTATTGCTCAAGGGCATCGAGAGATGACTATCTAACTAAGTATCTCACTAATCTGAGCCCACATGATTTCTACTATTGCAGAAAGTATTTTCAAAATGAATGTATTTGCGTGGAGTAGGAGCAGATTTAACTAAAAAACATTTAGAAGAGCTCCACCGAAGCTTTCAACCTAATTTTCTGTTTCAATCAGAGACAAAAAAATAATTGATATTTTCTGCAAAATTTGCAAATTTTTTTTAGATATGATAATGCATTTACAGTCGTACCGCAATGCACAAGCGGTGGTCTTTTTTTCTATCTGAATGATCCTGCAATTATTATATCTTACTCAGATGACCA